CCAGTCTCCATACTACTGTATGGAGAGATGCGGGATAACTGAGTAGACATTACATAAAAAATTATATGGTACACAAAATTATTAGTCCGTGATACAGACTCCTTTTTATCAAACTATTAACATCTGCCTGAAACTTCGTAAATAGCTTCATATCATCGTAACCTACAAATATTTTATTTACGAATATTCTCGGAATTGGAGCGTTTTCGATCTGGAGGTTTGCAAAACGTTGTCTATTTAATTAGATACTGAAAACTCGTAAATACCCGTTTGCTGTCCACTTGAAGCTTAAGATAATTTGAGTACAAAGTCGAAAAAAAATATTGAGCCGGTTGGCGTCATCTACACCCACAATTATCAAAATAACGAGCTTACTAAACAGACTAATATTTTTGGAGGCCACCTTTTTTATCAATTTTGTTATTGAAATATCTTGCGGTCTAACTTTTTTTGTTTTTTAGAATAGCGAAAATTCTTTATTGAGATATATTACAATCCGTCACATCTTAGGACAATAGTAATAGTGATATAAGAGTAGCTCATACACACTATGTACAATAAATAAACAGCAATATAATAGTGCTAAAAGTAAATTTATTTTAACTAAAATAAACTAAATAAATCAAAATAACTACTTGAATACACACTTGCTTTTATACAACATTACAAAATTCATTCATTTAAGATCTCCGAACCAAGCCATTCCTCCACTCATGGAAGGAAAAGCAGGACTCCAGGAGATCCCAGCACATCTCACTCAGCCGCTAGTATCTAATTAAATAGACCAAGTTTACCGACCCCCAGATTGAAAATGCTCCAATTCCAATTTTGGTAAATAAAATAGTTGTAGGTTACGATGAGATGAAGCTATTTATTAAGTTTCAGGCGGTTGTTAATAATTTGATGAAAAGGGGTCTGTACCACGGACTATATCATTTGAAAGAACCATTAACGTCAGACCAACTTATGTCTTATAACGAGCAACATGTCGGCAAAGCTTGTATTGGGTTGGCAGATCAACGCTTTCGTTCTTTCTGTTTATTTTTATGTCACGACCATACACTTCTTATCTGTCGAATTAATGCCTAAAGTGGATTGTTTATCCTATCTGTAATATGTTGGCAACCATTTCTGTAAACTCTTGCTAAAATTAGTAATGGTTTTGCTTTTGTATATTGAACTATGGAACAAAATATTAATTGCCGAATTATCGGCAAATTTTGCTATGTCGTTTTTAAAAAGGTAAGCGTCCTGCAGAAGTTCTCTGACCATTTAACGAAAGTGTCAAAATTGGTTTGCCAAATTTCAATGAGAAAATTTTGACTCTCCCTCAAGAAACTGAAACGAGTAATATTAGGGCCATTGTTAATCAAAATCCGGACCTAATTAACTAGAGGTCACCATGACTCTAGATGTATTCCACACAAGCGTAAAAAACCATTTCCACAAACTTGGCGACGTTTTCATGTTGGATGTTAGGGTTATCCTCTAACCGAAGTAAACATGTGAAACGCTTAATCCCTCCCTATTCACAAGACATGGCCCCAAGCAACTACCACTTATTCAAGTCTCCGAAGAACCCCATGAATCCAAACTAATTCCAAAACGAACAAATCATTAAAAAATCGAACGATGCAAGTTAGTGGAAAGATAAAAAGAGGTCATACTAAAAAATGTACAATGCATTGTAGATTAAAATAAATTTGATATTTGAAACCGAAAGGACTTATTTACCAACCCAAGAATTCTCAGAAATAATTATTGGAAATCTTTACTTATTATTGCCTTAAATTCTGAAAATATAGGATGAGTCGGTATCAACATTTAATTAGAATTAATAATGAAAACAAGATGGGTCATACAATTAAAAAGCAGATGGCGAAGATAAAATGGTATTGTGTTTTAACAATACAATTTTCTTTCAATGTTTTATCAGAATCCCAAACGATCCCAGATCACAAAACATTTTAAAGACAATAGCGGAATGGGGTCTGAAAACAGTTGTCCTCTTTATCAGTCTTCTTTATTAGTAGAGATTCGATAAAGAATGGACCATAGATAATATAACATAAATATTATATTACATATTATTAAACATATTTATAAGTATATATTATAAATATATACAATTTATATGACTAATTATTAATGGTCTGTTGTACAGATCCCTTTTTATCAAATTATTAACATCCGCCTGAAACTTCGTACATCATAGCTTCATCTCATCCTAATCTATAATTACTTGATTTACAAAAATCATTGGAATTGGGGCATTTGGCGATCGGCAAAATTTATCTATTTAATTAGGTCCAAAAACCTCGTAAATACCCATTTCGTTTTCACTTGGATCGAAAGGTAACTTTATCATAAAATCGAAAAAAAAGTTGGCCTTCAAAAACATTGAGCCGTTTGGCGTGACCTATACCCCAAATATGTCAAAATAACGAGGTTATATAATGACATAATAACATAATAACATAATAATAACATAATAACATAATAATAACATAATAACATAATAATAATAGCTAATGGCCCAATGTTATGATAAAATTATCTTATGATCCAAGTGAATACCAAATGGGTATTTACGAGCTTTTATAGACAAAGTTTACCAATCTCCAGATTGAAAACGCCCCAATCCAAGAGTTTTCGCAAATAAAATAATTGTAGGTTACGATGAGATGAAGCTCACCACGAAGTTTTATGTGGGTGTTAATAATTTGATAGAAAGGAGTCTGTACCACGGACTTTAATTACTTATGTTTTCTATCTATACTTGGACTGCATTAACAAGGGGAAGTCACAGACAGTTGATCTAACTTATACTAAGAGTACAACTTTGAAACGAAGCAATGAGAGAGTAAATATTTTTTAAAGAGAAACAAAGTTGATATTTCACTTCTCCAAAATTGTCATGATTCCACGTATTTTTTTGGGAATTTCGAATCATATTGAATGCACGGAACGTCGCAAGCTGAGCTTTTCAACGCGAGAGAGAGAGAGAGAGAGAGAGAGAGAGAGAGAGAGAGAGAGAGAGAGAGAGAGAGAGAGAGAGAGAGAGAGAGAGAGAGAGAGAGAGAGAGAGAGAGAGAGAGAGAGAGAGAGAGAGAGAGAGAGAGAGAGAGAGAGAGAGAGAGTGAGAGAGACAAAGCATAACCTGGACAAGAGGAAAAAAATAAGTAAATAAAAAGCATTGATTTAGATGTTAAAACATAAACAGTAGCCTAAATTAATAAAAACAAACATTCAAATAACATAATAACATTATATACAGTAATTTAAATAATAACATGTAAACAGTTAAAAAAAAATTCTCAAACTAAACTATAGTTGAAATGAAAAAAAACACCTACACATACATGCATATATATATACACTTTTTTCGAATCATTTAATTAATTAAAATTTAATTTTTATTTTTATTTATTTAACTTATGGTGTGAATGTGTTTATTTATCACTATACTTATTGTCCATGAGACAGAATATTATATATCTAAATAAATAAATAAAAAAATAAAAAAAATGTAGTTAACCTGCGCGGCAGCGCATCTAGGAAATTTGCTGTATTTATTATTGTTTTGGTTTATTTGCTTGATTTCATTTTTATCTATATAGTAGGTCTCTTGGCCATTTTCTTTTTAATTCCGTCGTTCAGGTAAGAGGGAGCAAGCGATAGAAAGAACCAGAAGATTGGTCTGATTCTTAATTGAAGAATGAAACTTAGTGTATTTGTCGTGGATGTAGACTTTTACTGTCGGGGTGTTTAAGTCGTTATGTATAGTGTTATTTGAAATATACCAAGATTCGTTTACAATTTATGATTGTGCTAATTGTATTTTGTTTATGTGTGGTTGTTTTGCCGAACCCCAAAGTTCTACTCCATATATCCATGTAGGTCTCAGTAGGATGTTGAAGAACAGTTCGTAAGTTAAGTGAAGATGTGATATCGTCTATTGAGTTCTTGTCTTTTTAATTTCATATGTATGTTCCAAGTAAGTCTTTTTTCTAAGTAGAGTCCGAAGTACCGTACAAAGATAGTTCTTCGAAAGCACTGGATTACAGACTAATTAATCCATTACAGACTACATCACTAATCTGTTATTTTTAAATCCATGAAGAAACCACTATCTTACCTTCAACCACTAGCGGATCCAGGATTTATTTTTGGGAGGGCTTCAGCCCGAAAGTTGTTTTTTTCATAAAAATAACGATAATTACTTTGGAAAAAAAGAAAGAAACTAACTATCTATATGAAATGGTGATTCCTAAAGCCCTTTTAGATGTAATTACACGAACAATAATACTTTAAGAGATACTTTTTTAATATTGTTTTCGATAAAACATGGTTATATTTTACCATTTTGGGGGGGGCTTCAGCCCGAAAGCCCCTCTCCCCCTCCCCCGTAGATCCGCCCGTGCCTTCAACTAATGAATAATCTAACATACACCGCTGCATACTGACCCAGAAATCAATATGCACAATGTGAGATAATAGTAAACATAAATACAAAGCATTCTACAGCTGTTTACACGGATATCCTTAAGTGTTGACATCCTAGCTAACGATTCTACCGCTATTCGAAGTGATGATTGAAAAAATTACCATCACCAATTAACTTTTTATTTAAAAAGCCAATTACTCACAAACTAGATGATTTTCTTCATCAGAAAATGTTCTGAGATTCAATCAAAAAAGCTTATTAAGATCATATGATGAAAAATGTAATTTTTGTAACAAGCCCAAATCACAAATTGAACAGTTGAGAGAAAATCCGGAGGAAGAGAAATGCTTGTCAGACGTTTTTCTGTTGTTGGAAAATAACGATCATTAAACCAACAAGCAGGTACAAGAAATAAAAAATAAAAAAAAAGTGAATTGGCAGTAAAACTCAGAATTTAGAACTCGGAAGGCCTACAGCATCATTTAGATTCAAAGTAGGCCGGGCTGTATTCTCTCCTCCCCTTCGCTCCTTCGTACCCTGTATTATTTAATCTTTACGCCTGCAGAGTTTTTAACGAGGCAAATCTCGGAGCCGGCGTTAACGAGGTGCTAATCAAGAGTCGTCTCTGCAGCGATTCCCGAGTTCTGTTAAGCGCAGTCTTTCGGATCCAGTAGTAAGGTCTAGGATACTGCAATCTACTAGAAACCAATTTTACAACCACCGCCCACACCATAAACCCCACGGCACTTTCCTATCCTTCTTCATTGATCGGTAAAGTCTTCGAGTAAGAGGATTAAAGGTGATGTTCCACATGGTCGTAAAGCAAGAGAAAGCAGGATGAAGTCGCAGAGAGCAAACAGTCCGGAGGACTCGAAGAGGTTCCATGCAGAAAATTCTTTGCCTAATCTAATGAGCCGCAAACCGTATATTTTAGAGTGCTTAAGTCTAAAAATAAGCATTCATTTTACGTCTCGTTACTAATGCGTGTGTGTAAATCAATGTTTTTTTTTTCAATGAAATATTATGACGATCTTTTTTCTTTTTTTTTTGTTGAGAGATACAAATAAGGACATTTATAATAGTGTTCAGAGAGCACATTCACGCTCTATCAACAATAAATAATACAGAAAAAACAATAACACTAAAAGTAAATGTATATAAACTAAACTAAACAAAAAGAAACTAAGCTAATAAAAATAACTACTCACATACCATGCTTCTAAACTCTATGATATATATATATATTTTTTTTTTTGCACTTTCATCTATTTATCCGCACCTGTCAATTACAACTATCGACAATCTGCAGATGTGCTGATCAGAGACATCAGAAAATAAATAAATAAAAAGGCTTGATAGGCATGAGGAAAAGCAATACCCAGCGGTATCCCTTCCATGGCTTTTACTTACTTACATACAATTACGTAAGTAGGTCCCTCATCCAGACCCTTTTCAGTCGTCTTCAAGAGTTCACTGGGATAATAGTAGTGGTCATTTCTTTAATTAGCTGGTTGGAGTGTCCATGTAATTTATTATGAAATCGTTTGTAGTGTTCATTGATCGTTGGTATGTGTAAGTCAGTGTGTTAAGTGTTGTTATTCACGTACCAGGGTGCTTGGGTAATTAGTCGTAGTATCATAGACTGAAAAGTTTGAAGTCGTTTTATGTGTGTTGGTTTTGCAATTCCATATATTTGTAGTACATAAGTCCAGATCCATAAGTCCGATTTCAATTTATGATAATAAATCTCAAAATTCGTAAATTACAAACAAAACCAGGATCATCAGAAAGAATTAGAAATTTCACAGTCCTTTAACACTTACTTACGGAGGAATGTGTGTAAAGCAATAATTCTATATATTATTACTAAAAGGTGTTTTTTTGTCGGTACGCCACTATTCCGTCAATTATTCATCAAATCAAGGAACAAAGTGGGTAGAAATTAGTATTGCACAAACGCGAGACCAAGACGAGTCTTGGTCTTGAACAAAAGTCTCCCAACAGTCTTGGAGTTACCTATTAGCCTATTACTAAAGAGATATTACAGTAATTTTTTTTTATAATAGAGGAAACCTAACTAAGCACGAATGATGAAAAATTGGAAGAGTTAAATGCAAAAGTATATTAATTATAACAATTCTTTACATATAGTAACTAAAATTGTCAAGTATCCTATATATTTTTTCTAAAAGGTGTTTGTTTGTCGGTACGCCATAACTTCGTCAATTCTTCATCAAATCCAATGATTTATCAATCATTTTTCTGGAAAAAAGTTATGAAGGGAAAGAAACTTTATTTGCGAATAATTCAAAAAGTATGCATTTTTGTATTGATTGTACCATGATAATTAGAAAGATTACTAAATTAAATACAAACCAAAACAAAAATCGTAAAAATCGATTACAAATATGTATAATTTAAACAATTTGAATTGACGGAAGGAGTAAAGTGTGTTGAAATATTTTTTTAAGGTGAAAAGAGAGTTGAGATTTGTATTTCGCAGCTCGACTCTCGAATACGAATTTTCATTGCGATCGAAAAATAAAAAAAAATTCTACAAATTTGTACGCATTTGTAGACTCCCCCCTCTCCCACTTTTGTTTTATTTCGAAAATCGCAAAAAAATGTATAACTTATTCTTATATTCTTCCACAAAATTTCACAGGGAGATAGGGCCTTATAAACTACACGAATTGACACAAATTGTAACTTCCTGAATAGTTAGAACTCAAGTTATAAAATAAAAACCTGTTAGGAGTTTTTATTTATTTACACTTTATAGACGTGTTAAATCAAAAATTTATTTATACAGTCTTAAAGAGCGATAATTCAGCTTTCCAACGGTTGTAGAAACATTGAATTAAGATAAAATCCTGAGGAGTTATGAATGTTTTAGTTAAAAGCAGCCAAAAACATCATAATCAAAAATAAAGTCGTTGCCATGCCAACGATCTCAGCACAGCTCTTCTATCCTATATATTATTTCTAAAAGGTGTTTTTTTAATAAATCTCATGATCGGGGCATTACTTTATCTTTATTAATTAATTTCCTGTCAGCGTTTAAAAATAGGTTTTAGCAAAATAATTTGTACAAATATTTTTGTATATTATGTTTAGTGGAATATTGTAATCGACCAAGGAAAAACTATTAATTCCTTCCTTACATAATAAATAGAAACTACTTATTTCTATATTGGTTTGCTATTTCTTCACTAAACAAATTTTTTTGCGAATTATTCAACTAGTTTTATCAATTATAAAATGTTTAAAATTAAAAAAAAAATGTATAGAACGAATTCCTTTAAAATTAAATTTCAAGTTTTTCCTTTTTTGAATTATTTGTAAGATTATTCTGGATTCCCTTTATAACTTTTGTAGTTATTATAATAATGATGCCAAGTATTTATTTTTTATGAATTTTTTTGCAGCTAGTTGCAGCTGCGTTTACTGTGCACTTTTTTTTATTATCACATAAATTATTGTCATTCCAAGTAAGTATTCGTCCAATAATTCGAATATTAAGAAAATACTTGGGAGAAAAACTCACCAGTATTGCTTTATGTGTTTTTATAGCATATTTAAATAATCGTATATTTAAGAATGCTTAAGTGAATAAACAAGCATTAAGTTTACTTCCCGGTATTAATGAGTGTAAATAAACCAATGTCTTTTGAGTGAATTTCAAATTTCGTTAATTATAAACAAAACCAGGTTCTACAGGAGGAATTAGAAATTTTACAGTCAGTTAACAATTACCTACTGAGAAGTACAGGTATAAATATTAATTGTATCAATAACATTTCACAATTAATATTTACGTGCCGAAATGGTAATAACATACAGGCTGTGAAAAATGGTAGGCAGTAAATACATGAAAAAGGATAAATATAGAAGAACTCCTACATTTACCATATACAAGTATGGGGAAATATCTACATTAGATTATAAGCTTAATAAGACTTTATATTTGAGTTTATTTTGGAAAATTGCATTCTGTTGCAACTTTCAAAAATTGTATTGATTGATATCAAGATGGTCCAATTCTGATTATCAAATTCCGTCTACTTCCACTGTTGCCGTTTGTGACGTATGAACCATGAGGTATTTTACGTATTTCAAAGTATTTTACGAGTTACGAGGATTAACCAACCTAATATCTTGTAAATAATTTTTGCTGACTTATACAAAGTTATATTTTTATGAATGAAGTTTACATTGGTTTTACTATTATTTGTACTATTATTATTTATATTAATATTTAATACTAAACTTCTGTTGCTTTGAAGGTAAATACATTTCAAATATGTCTTCTTTAATTAGAGTATGATTATTATTTCCTTCGTAAAACCATGATTGTATATATACTTTTTTTTTCTAATTTTCAAGAAAAAAAAATAATAAATTGTGACGTCATTATAAAAAAAAATGATACGGTTTTTATAGAGCATAAAAAAGTATATCTATTATATCCTTCATAAAACTACGATTGTTACATAACTATTTCAAATAGATCTAAGTCAGCAAAATGAAAATAAAAAAATTACTATTTATTAATTTCAACTATATGTTACGTAGTTTCGAACTTCGATCAAATCATAGTAATGTGTTTTCCCTATATTAGGTGGTACAGAGCTCTTTTTATTAAATTATTAACATCAAACTTCGTGAATAGCTTCATCTTATCGTAACTTACAAATCTTTTACAAACGAAAATTCTCTGAAATGGAACACTTTCTCGTTATACTAATTACTTTAATGAGATACTGAAAGCTCATTAATACGAAATATATCTTGTTATACATTTTTAATTACCTTCCAGAAGTATACCTATTTACTTCGTCATTTTTTTATTGTTTGTAACATATTAGGGTGAACGCACATATTATGGACAGGAGATCTAGTGATGGACAGGTTTGAATTTAAATGTAAATAATAAGCTTTCATCATGATTGAAAGGTTCCAGTTTTTTCTATATTGTAGAACAATGCTCTCTATTGACAACTGTATGAACAATGTTTCTAAAAAAGATCAAGGTGTTTCATACCTTCCTACTAATAGTTTTGATAAGATTAAATTGAACATTTATGTTATATAATCTTTATCGTTATCTCTATAGTTAACTAAGATTTTGGAATTTTTCCGAGGTATGTCTATTACTTGTACCAACCTACTGTACCCCCCTGTCGCTCATTCTTCCCTTTCTGGCACCAGGGTATGTACCCGTAATCTTAAATTGAAAATTTAATAGCTGTAACTTCGTTAATAGTTGTCCGAACTGAAATATTTTTATATAGTTTTGTAGGGAATTTAATTACTTTTTAAAAAACACGCAGTGTACCTTTAAACAGTTTAAACGGTTGTTTCAGACCGTACGAAGAATGGCTAAAAGTGTATTTTTCGAACTCAGAGGGCTCTGAAACGCATAGATCCGTCGAAAAACGCATATCGAAAATTCGACCCGATCGCAATACTTTCCTTACCTAATAAAGGTAAGAAAGTAAAAATGTTTGCGCTTGAGAAAGAAAAGTGGTCCCAGAAATCAACTTAAAAATTTCATCAAAATCGAAATAACTGTAGTAGGTTGTTTGTTTTTTTCGGTTTCATTTTCAGTCTGAATACAAATCTTCTCTACCTTTGGGCAGTGAATAGGCAAAAAAAAATTAAATATAATGAATTGTTTTCAGTTAATGTGTAACATCGTTTCAACCTTGACCTTGTGCTGTGTAGTCTCTCTTTGTTTCCTACGAGATAAGAGAAGACAAATTTATGGTATCTGAATAATTGCACTATATAACACGCAACGTACGGAGCCGATTTGCAAACGAATGAGTCATTCCATCAGTGTATCTGAGGGTACGATCTGCTAAAACGAGCGAAACCCCATT